AACTGTTTAGTTATTAAAATCCAAATGTAAAATACAAAATTACCTTTATATCCATATAAAATCATCAATTTATCAATTTTCACTAAACTGAAGTAATTATCAATATTTTATAGCTAAAAATTATAGAATTCGGCAAATACCTCTAATAAATGATTTTGTTTACCAAAATTATTTCATTAAAAATTTAAGATTAAAAATATAAAGTCTGTAGATTGCGATGTATATTTTAAAGGCTTGGGAATATGCTAACTTGGGGATGGCGTGAGTAAAACTACAAAGTTAGTTAGTTGTACAAGTGTTAGCTACAAAGTTGCAGCTAACACCTGCACACCTAGTGGAATATGGCATGTCACAAAAAATGTTTCGGTCTTTTGTGAACTTCCAGCTGTACTTTTACTTTTACTTTTATGCTTAACATTTTGATCAAAATCAACTTTCCCTTTATTTCTTATTGAGACATGATATTACACGACAATTGTGATTTGTGATCTTTTGCTTGTAATTCCTCAGAAAATTTACATTTTCAAAGTAACATCTTAAGGTGAGCCATGATTTTAAAAAAAAAAATTAATTGGTGTGCAATAATGGAATGAAAATATTCAAATTGAATTAAATTTTTGCTATCTTATCAATCGAATCTCAAACAAAGGAAATGGCAATCAACAATTAAACTAAAATAGTTTTCTGCATACACTAAAATTATGAATATTTATTATTTTTAAATTTTAGTTATAAGTTATTTTTACATATAAAATAATCATCTATATTTTGATATATTTTAAATTACTCGACCTTTTCAATTCCATTTCCTCATTACCAATTCATTGTTGCTTTAACATAGTGACAGATGCTAAATCAGACCAAAACCATACATGAGGTTGTATAAAAGGCAGAAGGTATTTTTCTAGTCACTCTATCTTGTAGAGTTCAGTCTTTGAGGTTACAAATGGTTGCTATTTTTTGCAACAGCTATAAGTTGCATGCCGATTCATACATTTCCTGGCAAATTAATCCAACTTTGTATATTTGTATTTATCACTGACAGCTCCATGGTTAATACCAGCATAAAATCTGCAACCAGATATTTGTCTAAATTCAAATTTGACATAAGTTTTTTCAACAAGAATTAGACAGCCATTGAACTTTGCAAGAATTTGGTTGTACATTTTTCTTGCATTTTAATGATTTCGCATTTGATATTTTGATGAAGATGTTTTGATGAAGATGTTTTGATGAAGATTGTTTGATGATGATGGTTTGATGAAGATGGTTTGATGAAGATGGTTTGATGACAATGTTTTGATGAAGATTTTTTGATTTTGTACTATCATCTTCTCTCTTTTTGAGAGAAGATGATAGTACAACTATTTGTATTCCTGGGGTTTACTATTGTGCAAGATGGATGACTAAAGGTATGAACTGTTTAATAATTTTTGGTTTTTATCATCAGTTAAATGTCACAAAGAAAGATTATGGAACTTTAAAAAGAATATGCCTATTTATAACCACAATATGTGTGTTTCTGGTTTCAGAACCTCTTACAACAGAAGCACTAAAAAATGATCTCCTTCTTTTAAATTTAATCAAGAAATATTTTCAAGTTGACAGCAAAGTTGCAAATGTTGCACACACAAAAAAAAATTAATCTTTTGTTATTGCATTCAAGTGAAAATCTAGCAGCACTACTGTTACAATTTTCAAAGAAAAAGTGGAAATTGTAAAAACAAAATAACTACTACAGGGTGTAAAAATTACACCCTGTAGTATATAGTAAATAACTACTACAGGGTGTAAAAATTACACCCTAAAAATACTGTTAAAATTTTTTAAAGAAAAAGTGGAAATTGTAAAAACAAAATAACTACTACAGGGTGACAAGAGAAGGTTTACCCCAAACAAGGTTTTTACTTTCTCTAAACTCTCTATAGCAAGTTTTGTTACACAACGCTCAATTAATTTATTTGACTACTAATCTACCAAAAGAATTCTTGACATCGTCTCCGAAAACTTAGACCATTCATAATAACTACTAGGCTGCATGTAAAATAAGTTCCATGAAAGTGGTTAATGGCTGCGCAGAATGGGGAGTTAAATTGGTCACTGATTTTAATGAAGTTTTGATAAAAATGACAGTCAACATTTCTCTATCAAGTAGTTAAGTATCATATGAAACATTTTTCAACTACAAAAACAAATTTAAGCAATAACCATCCCAAATAAAAACAATTTAAAAAATTATAGAAATTTTTAGAGCTTTTTTTAATATTTAGAATAGCTTTTTTTTTACCTCATCTCTTCAAAACTTAAACTTCTTGATAAGTTTTCCTATCAAATTTCTCAATTGTTTGAGATACTATTGAGAATGTGCTCTAGATAAATAGAGAGATTTTTTCTATATCATTTTAATTTAGATCGTTTGTATTCTTCTACCAATTTGAGGCTGGCATATAGATAATACTTTTGTGCTTTTCATAGACTTTGAGAACACACTTTATTGAGCCTTTTTCATCTTAACTGTTGGTTAAGATGCACATTTGTAAACACCTTGAATTGTGACATAACAATTTTGCAATAATCTGGTTCTTTTTGCAGGGGTTTTTATTATTTATTTTTGTTTCTTGTGCAAAAAACCTTAAGCAATATTTAATTCTGTTGGAAGTACAGATAACTTGCAAATGCAAACTGATCTGTAGCCACTAAAGTAAATATTTTTGCCCATGCTGCATTCATAATCTAAATAAAAAATATTTAGCTGCAATAGGGACACAACTGTTGTTCATGATTAAAAATATAAAAATAGTTGTTCATAGGAAAATAATGAAAAAACCTATAATTTAACATTTACAATGTAAAATTATAGGTTTTTTATTAATGGCAGTAAAATCAACCAATATAAATATATAGGTGAAACCTACAATTAATAATCTAACAATATGCTAAAGTATTTAAAGACTTTTTACTAAAAGACTCCAAAGTTTTATTTAATATAATTCACAAAAAGCAGATTTGATATAAATAGCGCATACGACAAACTTTGAAATTTTTATAAAACAATGAGTGATGCTAAATTTTAATGTATAACAGCTTTCTTTGATGTTAATTTTACTCATATCATTTGAATGTTATTATAATAAATAATATTTAAAAAAAATACATTAAATAGAGATCATTACATCGAATAGATCAAATAGAGATACATTAATAATGTTTAATTAATAATGTAAAAATCATCAAAAACATCAAATAGAGATCTTATACATTAAAATTGCATTCATTAAATGTTATTATTATAATTATAATATAAATATAATAAGTTTGTAAAACATTAAAATGCTTCTTTTATTGTTCAATAAAAATTAATTAGTGATTATAAAATTTTAAATATAAACTAACACACACACACACAAATATATATATATATATATATATATATATATATATATATATATATATATATATATATATATATATATATATATATATATATATATTTATATATTTATATATATATATATATATATATATATATATTTATATATATATATATATATATATATATATATATATATATATATATATATATATATATATATATATATATGTGTGTGTGTGTGTGTATATATTTTTTTTTTCAGCAATAAAAGTGCATAAAATAGGGGCCTATCGTACAGCCACATTAGGTGGCTGATAACTGCATGCTGTATCTGTGGCTTTATGCCAGTACAACAAAACCATCAACTACTGTAAACATTTTGACAGGATGATGTGAATGTTTATGTGGTTTACTGTAAGGTAATATAAGCTTGCAATTAATGGTCCTCAAAATCTGTTTTTCCTAATGCTGTGATTCGAGTAGCTATTATTGATTAAATGGACACTGAATGGATTACTGAACTGTACACTTTAAAACCTCTTCTTATTAAAAACTATAATCGCTGTAGTAGCAGCCATTATAGTTCAACATAATGACTGTAGTAGTTGAATCTCTCGTTATACCAAAATTTAAATGTCACATACAAGTTGTGGAATGAGTTGTAAAACACGTTAAAAGGTAGTAGCTACAAAGCAACATGGTTTAACTATAAAAACTTCAATGGATAATCAAGTCAAGTATTTGAAACAGCATTCAAAGAAGGATTTTCTCCAAAAAATAGTCAAATATTTAAAGATATTTTATATTTACCATTAGCATTTTGAATTATCTTGAATACATAAGAGTATATTGCAAAACTTTGAATTTTGGTTCTTTTATTGTTCTATAAAATTATTTTTCCTTAATATTGCTCAATTTGTACAAAAGCAAATTTGTTTTTGATATTTAGATTATTTTTCCTCTGCCCAAAGAAATCAAAATTTCAAGATATAAATTGGTATTTCATAAAAGTTTAAATATAGCTATGTGTACCCAATTATATGTGCGTGTGTGTGTTTACACACACACACACACACACACACACACACACACACACACACACACACACACACACACACACACACTGTCATGAAATACTAAATCACAATAATTTTTTTTTTTTTACTAAAACAACTAAAAATTATTAAATTTTTATAAAAGTATAAAAATGTTGTTATCAAAGTTTAAAAATCTTGACTTTATTTCAGACTTTCAGTTTATTTTTAATAAAAAAAAAAGTTTAATGTAAAAAACTTTTTTGTTGTAGCAAATTTTCTTTATATATATATATATATATATATATATATATATATATATATATATATATATATATATATATATATATATATATATATATATATATATATATACATATATATATATACATTAAAATGCAAATAATATATTAGTACAGTGCAGACTTTAACATTTACAAGTAAATTTATTATGCAAGTCCACTTCTTATTTCAGTTTGATGTAATCAGTAATTTTTTGATGATGTCATCAGTAATTTCTTGATGATGTCATCACATTTTTTGCAGACCTTTATTCGCAATATGAGATATTTATATATAAACTTCAATTTTAGAGATCGTCTTGCTAAGCAAGCATATGCAAAAGATCCTGTTAATTCTGAGGTATTTATTTAAAATTTCTAATAGTTAGCTAAAATAAGTCATAGAGGTTTGGTTTAAGTAGTTAGCTAAATTATTAATAGTAAAACTTTTCTTTTAATTAACGTGCAAGAATTAGGGAACAAGACAAAGGTTAAGAAAAAGATGTTTATAATATCTTTATTGTCTTTTTTTTGTATTGGTCTTGTCTAGCATTGTTATTCTTCACATTGTCAGATTTTTGTTAATATCTGGCACATGATATATAAAAGTAGCTTAGACATTTTGTGTTAGTCTTTGACTCATAAAGTGAAAGCTTTTATGTGATGCTTTTATGACTTTATTTAAGTAAAAAAATAATGCTCATTTATTCAAATATATTAATTTTAATTACAATTAAATAACTTCAAATGTTATTCAGAACAAAGTGATATTATCCATATTATGATATTGATATTTTTTACCTCTTACACCCACGAACTTTAGCACATTTTTAGGTTTATATTATATATTTATAATATGAACAATATTCATATATCCTGCTGTGAGGCAGGTGATAATCAGTTTTTAATTTATTATTGTCTAATTTTAAGACATTGTGTTGTACTACATTTACATATTGACACTATATAGTATGCTTATGGCCTAAGCACTTTATGGCACTTATCAGAGCCAGAAATAAAACCAACAGAATAGATTTTAATTGATCTAATACACACATTAGTCACCAAAGGCCACAAGCCTTCATTCTAAGCCTAAAGAGCCCATACTGGTGTGTAATGATGTGCTGCAGAAATTCAATATTATCAAGTATCATAATATTATCAATTTAATATTTGTATATTGTAATGGTATTAAGTATATTTTAAGTTCAAATAGTGTGGATTATTTCTTACCTCATGGTTAGAGACATGGTTGACAGTCTCCATTGACATTATAACTAGATATTCTATATATGCATTTCTGGGACTTAGCACAAAAAAATATAAAGTTAGTATTTTGTATGAATTTCAGATAAGAAGCATTCAAGAACTTGACATTTGCACTCTATTTGAATGAAACTGATGCAAAAGTATGAAATATGTTGTAATAATTTAACTTCTTGAAAACATCAAAGATGGCTGTTGTAATTGTTGCATTGACAATTTGACAGTTCAAAATTTAAGGTTTTTACTACCTTGGTTGCATTATGAGTAATAAAATTCTTAATACTGCAGTAATGTTCTTAATTCTTAATACTGCAGTAATGTTAGTGATGAAAAAGGAAAATAATTTCACAAATTTATAAAACAATATGACAAACAAACATATAAAACAACAGAGAAATATCTGTTTAAAATTTTAGGGCGAGAGACAAAACAGATCGTAAGGACACATTTTGAATGATTTTAATGATTGATGAATGGTGCTGAGAATATTAGAGGCAATAAGTATAAATACAGAAGGTAAACTATTCTTGCTGGTGACGTCTTAAACAAATAGACTTTTTAAGCCATTTTCCGACTGGCAGATTGGAATAGCAGGGTCGCCACTGGTCATGGAAATCATTGAAATGTCATGGAATTTTATTTGGTCATGGAAAAAGTCATGGAATTCCTAAATTTTTATTGAAAGTCATGGAAAGTTCATGGAACTTTTTAAAATTTATTTTTTTCTACTTACGATATTTTTAGGATGCAAAGAAAAATACAAGTATGTCTAGTCCAAGTCCTTTTTGAAAATTTTTTCAGTGTAAGAGAAGCAAAAGAAAAGTTTTTTTTAGATTTCAGATTTAGATTTTCTACTAATTAGTTTATAAAGAAAATTATAAATCTACTTTTACAACTTTTCAAAAAAAGTTGATAATTAAATAATAAATAGTTCTTATATACCAAACAAATTTAAAACTAATTTAAAAGCAAAATTATTTAAAAAGCTTTTTTTATGTAACAAAGGTCTTATAATATAATGATGGCTAAATACTAACCCTCAGTTGATATATGTACTGAAGCAAGGTTTGCATATTTATATATAGTTGCAAATGCTTAGTGCATTTATTTTACTAGAGTGATTTATCATAAAGATTTATGAAGAGTCATGGAGAAGTCATGGAAAAGTTATAGAATTTCATTTTCAAACTTGAGTGACTGAATAGGTGAAGGCAGAAATCAATTGGGAATAACATGAAAATAAGTGCTTCTCTTCAAGGAGCGACATTCGGGATTCTCACATTTCACAATTTGCGTTTAATATTGACTGGTGGGCACATCAGAGCCAAACCATTCATGATCTTTCGATAAGAAATGACAAGCATCAAGCTCTGTCTCGTCGTCCGGATCAATATCCTTGGCCACCATTAGAAAGTGATCAATCATCAGACTTAAAAAAATCCGAGGTACAGATCATTCCAGCGAAATCAAAATTCTGTTTCTCCAAAAGATGTTCGATTGTCCTACCTTAAATATAAGTAATTAATTCATGCTTAAATATAAGTAATTAAGTCATGCTATATGTATTGTAATTCCTTATTTTAAAGGTTTTCTTGTCATGTTATATATATTTTAATAAAGAATTGATATTAAAATAAATTTGAATACTTTGAGAGTCTAGATGAGTTCCATAATAATCGTGAGGAAGGATCAATCCAACTCTTTACTCAATAGAGCTATCTTTCTTTTGGATCAATAGAAAGCACTTCTTCCTGGTGCATTTGTCAAGTAAATAATCATACAAATAATTTGTAAAGAAATAATAAATTGCTGTAAACCCAGCAACTTGTTCCATGTGTTATTCTACTGGCTTGTGGGATACTCTTTTTAAGACATGAGTGAGCTTCCTGTCATCAGTACTTTTAAAATCAGTCTTGCCTATAGTAATATATAAATATATATATATATATATATATATATATATATTTATATATGTATACTTATCTAAGTATTTATTATTTCTTTTTGCATGTATCTTTTATTTGTTGTTTTATTTGTGTTTTAAAGTTGAATGTGCTTTAGTTACTGTTTTAGCTCACCTATAATCTACTTTATATGGATGTTTGTATTCTATCTAAATCTCTGGCAGGGTGTTGACATCTGTCAGAACCTCTGGCGCGGTGTTCATTCACTCGTAAGTTACTTTATGTGTGTTTTCTGTTTGAAACTCTGGCTCTGTGTTTATTCACCTGTAAGTTGCTATCTGTATGTTTGTGTTCTGTCTGAACCTCTAGTGCGGTGTTCACTCACCTGTAAGTTGCTATATGTATGTTTGTGTTCTGTTTAAATGTTTAAATCTGTTTGGATACAGTGTGAGCTCATTAACTAACTAGACACTCCAACTATATTCTTATAACTCACCTTAATCTCTAGTATTTTGTTAGATGTAATATTTTTCCTAATGCATTTCTAAAATATCATGCCAAATTTTTTGAGGTGCTTTTTGCAGGAAGTAGCTCCTTTTAATTACTCCAGGTCAGGTTCAGGATCATCACGATCATCCTGTAACGGTATTATTTATAGGTCTACCTGCCCCATGCCCTGCTGCCTTGTAGAGTGTGCTTTTTTAGGTAGGAAAAACAAACTCTGACTTTAAAATCCCCTGCCTTGGGGCAATTTTGGGTAAAGGCTAGAGATGGTGTCTCAATAAAAATAATTATCTTGGACAGATGTTAACTGCATCCAGCTAAAATTCCCCTGCTTGGGGCTCTTGGTTAAGTAAAGGCTAGAGATGGTGTCTTGATAAAAATACTCGTCTTGGGCAGATGTTAAATGCATCCAGTTACTGTCTTGTAGGAGGCCTCCTAGGCATAAACATAAAAAAACCATCTCCACCACCTGTTTTAATATATCTTTTACTAACATTCATGGCCTGCAAAGCAACTTCCATCAGTTGAATCTTACCTCTTGCAAAATTCACCAGACTTGCTTGCTCTTAGTGAGACTAATATAAATTCTGCTATTATTTCTTCAAATCTCAGTGTCGATGGGTAATATACTTTGATTCACAATGATTCCAACAGTCATATGCTTGGCTGAAAGGTATACATACACATTAACTACCTGTTTTTAAATCAAGTTCAAATCCTTTGACCATTCTTTTATGTGCTTCCACTTAGCACTTCTTCACTCTATCACCTTTCTCTTTGTTCTTTATCGTTCTCCTTCTTCAGAAGACTGCACTCTTTTTTAATTTGTGATCAAATTGACCATGCCCTCTCTCTTTATCTTTATTTTACTGGAATTCCTTTCATAATTTTCTTTGTGATGGTACTTGGGTACCATCACAAAGAAAATTATGAAAGGAATTCCAATTTTTTTCCCTCCCAACTGAAAAATCTGCCTCATATGTAACCTCCTGGGTTCAGGCAGAAATGGAAGCTTTTATTCCTTCTTGTCAAGTCAAGTCTCATTCTACTCCATGGTTTTCACCTTCTTGTGCAGCTGCTATATTAAGTCGTAATCATTTTTTTTATCTTTTTCTAAATAACAACTTTCTTGCGGACAAACAGCTATTTATTATTGCAAGAAATTGATGTAAAAAAGTGCTGTCAGATAATAAGCTCCATTATTCTCAGTTCACTAAATCTCGTATCTTATCTCAGAGGTTTGGCTCTAAAGACTATTGGAAAATCTTCAACAGCGTTGTTAACAAGGGTAGATCTAACATTCCATCTCTCATTTATGGGACTGATCTTATTACCTCTCCCAAGAATAAGGCAGAACTATTTGCATATAAATTTTTTTCAAATTTGACTCGTTCGACTGGTTAATCCATTGTTAGACATTCAAATCACTCCAGCTTCCGTTGCTAAAGTCATATTGCAATTAAACTCATTTACGGCTTGTGGTCCAGACAGCATTTCTGTCATAGCCTAAAAAAATTTTTCTCCAGAACTTTAATTCTCTCTAAGCTATTTAATAACTGTTTGAATGAGCCATGGTTTCCTGTCCACTGGAAAATGGCTTCTGTTGTTCCAATTTTCAAAAACTGTGGTGAACATTCTGACTTCTCCAATTATCATTTAATCGGTCTTCTTTCTGTTATTAGCAAGG